TGAATCATGTGACAATAATAGTCTACTTAATTTTAAAATTTTGCTTACATACATTTTGATACAGTTATATCATGGCTTATGTCCTTTATGTATATTGACAGAAATGCAATGCAACATGTACACACTTACACACTTATACACATTGTTGATCTTTGTCAATATTATATATATGTTATACATTTACTATATGTTTTCCTCAGTATACACTTAAGATGAGGAAAATCCGCCGTTTTACTTCAGTAGTCTGAATAAAACATCTTAATCTATGTATTTCCTTAGTTAAAATCCTGTTTGGTTTTATTACAACCAATCGGTCTAGAGTGACTATAATAAGGATAGAATAATAAAACATTTGTTGATTCCTTTGCAATCATACCACATCATGTTATTTTTCATATATTTGAGGCTGTCCATAACTATGAGGAATCTTAAAATTCTATTAAACAAATTGTCGAACATGGGCAGTCTTTCACAAAATGGAGGGATATGATACCCCATAATCAAAATGAGTCCTTACATTTTTTTTACAATCAAAATAGTCCTTTAATACCCTTTTCTGCAGTTGAGGATAATTTAAAAATGTCATGATAAATACAAAATTTTCACAATGTCTTTGAGATCTATTATATTTTGTACTTGTTGCACTTTTCCCATTAACTGCTAATCAGAGCTTCCTGAGATTTGGTATCAATCTCAATGTGATTATGTTTTACCATGTGATTTATTTTCAAATAAGTTACTCATCAAAGTCCTGTTTAACGAAAATTTACTTCTATCTTACACAAAATCTAAATGATGACCATAAAGAAAATGCTTGTTTCATTTGTTTTCAGGAAATGCGTATCAGAGCTTCCTGAAATTTGATTTTTATCTTCATGTGATCATGCTTTACCGTGGGATATTTTTCAATTCATCTAAGTCCTGTTTATCGAATTTTTACTGTACTTTTCAATGTTTGTATTATATTTTGGATTAAGAAAGAATTCCTTCATGTCATGCTCTACGCTTATTTTAATATGGGTAGACATTATATTTGTCAATATTTTACACCGAGCGTTAGCAAGCTGAAAATATGGTCAAATATAATGCCTACTCATATTAAAATGAGCATAGAGCATGAAATGAAGGAATTATTTCAATTCAAATATGACAAATACTGTTTTTATAGAAGCGTACGAAAATACCTAAGAAATTTTCTACAACTGCGTACTTTATTTGGTCTTTTCACTTTTTTGATTCGGGCGTCACTGATGAGTCTTTTGTAGGCGTTTTATACATGTATATGAAAAAAAATAGCAACGATTCATCTAGCTATTGATAAAAGAGGGACGAAAGATACTAGAGGGACAGTCAAACTCATAGATCGAAAACAAACTGACAACGTCATGGCCAAAAATAAAAAGACAAACAGACAAATAATTTGTGCGTCCATCTGAATCAACATAAATAAAATAAGGAAATGCGACTTGACTGTCAAAGGGACAGCAATCTACGTTAGATATAATATCCAGTAGCGGACATTTAAATTAATATACAACAGAAAACACAAAAATATAGTGTAAGACAACGACAACTGGATGATAGTTAAACTCTTGGTGGTTTATTATCAATATTACAATAATTTTTCGAAATGGACGACACACTTATCTCCGAAAAATACAAATGAACCAAAATCATAAAAACCACACAAGATTAACAAAGGCTAGAGTTTTCTGACTTGGAACAGGCGGTGTAAAACATGTTAAACATGCTTGTGATATCTCCACCCTCCCTCTAAACCTCTAGCCAATGTGGAAAAAACAAACACACATCAAATCGCACAGTAAAAATCAGTTCAAAAGAAGTCCGAGTCCGATGTTAGAATAGGTAACAGAACAAAATAAGCGAAATGACAATAACATAGATTAACAAAGGACTACTTGCAGCTACTAACAAGCCAGCTCCAGACTTCAATTAAACTGACTGAAAGATTGTGTCTCCATTATATGAAAATCTACCACAATCCCTTCCGTTAGGGCTTAAGTATCATGACATAAGGAATTATTTTATATTATATAAATGATATATAATGATAGAGGCGTTACAAGGGTTTTCAGTAATTGAAGGATAATCAATGTGAAATACTTTTGTTATCTATCTCATTTAATTGGAATAAACGGTTATGAAAGTACCACATAATTATAAAATCAAATGTAGATTGATTTTTATGTTGTGCTGTTGCACTGTTGTCCAAGATTAAGGGAGTGTTCAGCTCGCTCTTATAAACATTTTTTAAGTCCCACCACACTATTTGTGTGCATGTCAAAAAAGTCAGAAGCCTTAATAATTTAATTTAATGGTTATAGTTGGTTACTGTCTGTCATATTTGTTTTTCGTTTATTGGTTTGTCATAAATCAGACAGTTTTTCATTATGTTTGAATTGTATCACATTTTGACACATATGGGCCTTTTATAGCTTACTAATGTAAGAAATATGGGTTTTACTCATTGTTGAAGGCTCGGTAAGGCAATCTATTTTTGCTTACAGCCACGTCATTTAAGACACTGGAGATAGTTCAACTTGTCTCATTTGCATTCATTTCACGTTTCCTTATTTTTGTAACATACACATTAATAATCAGACAGTGGCTGGGTTATGCCATCCATGGTATCTGAATCTACCATCAATAGCTACGTAATACCGTTCAAATTACTCGAATCAATGTGTATCAACAATCCTTTCTTCCCGTTAATTCTCAGGCACTGGAACAATTTGTACAAAGCTATACGAAATTTACGTTCTATTCAAACCTTTAAAAAGTCTTGTTAGCAGAAGTGTTGACAGAATCATAATATACATTTAAACTACTTTTCAAGTTAGAATGAGTTTTTTCAAGATCATAAATTTTGTTTGTTATGAGAGATTTTTATTATTTCAACTTATATGAATTGTATGAATTTCAATATTATATATACGTCACAAAAATACGTCACTGTTTGTGGTGTCCTGTTCTGTCGTTAATGGGAGATGTCCGTTGTTATTCTGTGGTTTACATGTTGTAATTAACTATTATATTATTTATTTAAGTATTTCTCTGTGCTGAGTGTTCTTGCGTTTGTTTGTACTGTATTCCTATCACGTAGTGTTGTCATTTTAGCGATATATTTTTTAACATTGTCATATAAGCGGGATGTTTTGCTAGCCATAAAACCAGGTTCAACCCACTATTTTTTCTTAAAATGTCCTGTACCAAATCATGAATATGGCAGTTGTTATCAAATATTCGGTTTCTATGTATGTTGGCGTTTGTCTTTGTTGCAGTTCAGTGTTTCTGTTGTTCCGTTGTTTTCCTCTTATAGTTGATGTGTTTCACTCGGTTTTAGTTTGTAAGCCGGATTTGTTTTCTCTTAATTTATTTATGACTTTTGAACAACAGTATACTACTGCTGCCTTTATTTATTATATATTCTGAAAAAAAAATACCAAAAACTCTTAATTTGCATAACATTTGACAATTGTTTATGTTTCCTACTTTCAATGTCGAAGAATCAATACACATGATTAAAATTGTAGTATTTGAATCAAAACAGTAATTCTGGTTCTAAATTTTTTCAGTTTTCGTATACAATCGTGTTTGTTGTGTTAAAATATAATGATATTTGACAAATTTTCTGGTTTTCTATTTTCGGTCATTTAATGATATTAAACGTTTTTTTTTTTTCTTTTTAAATTTAACAAATTTGGTTCTCCTTGTTGAAGTAGAAAGGAAAATAACAAAAATACCGAACTCCGAGGAAAATTCAAAATGGAAAGTCCCTTATCAAAGGGCAAAATCAAAAGCTCAAACAAATCAAACGAATAGAAAACTATTGTCATATTCCTGACTTGGAACAGGCATTTTCTAATGTAGAAAATGCTGGATTAAACCTGGTTTTAAAGCTAGCTAAACCTCTCACTTGTATGACAGTCGCATAAAATCCTATTATAATGACAGCTATGTGTAAACAAAACAAACGGACATTATATGTAAAAATGTCAAAAATAGGGATACAGCAGTCAACATTGTGTTATAATCTTAATCACTATACAAACAAACAATCATGTCAACAAAGGAAAATAAAAAGGCATATAGACAAAGAACATTAGCAAAAATGAACGACAAGAATACAATTTTGTTTACCATAGCACAATAACACAATGACGGGATGTATAGGTACCGAGCCACACCAAAGGGATATTACCAATAATAGAATAAACAGTAAAGATAATCAATTAACAAAGACATATAAAAGAACACTATATACCCTAATTAAGATGACAAACAACGTCAGTACCTTGAATCTATATTTCAAGACCATCATGTATTAATTATTAGAGAAGTTGATACGAAATATTTATAAACAAGGTCTTGGTATATTCCGATGAACTTTTAAAGAAAAAGGACTAGACGTTCTTTGACATAACCCTTGTTCATCAACAATTTGCTCAGACACTGGTGACGTTTTATAAAGTCTGAGTAGAGTATACATGTCGCGCCTTTCATTCAATCAAATAACATGTAGAACCAAAAAAATAAGTTCAGTGTTGACCATGTCCTCGTCCTACATCGATCGTTATTTATAGTTAAGAAGTAAATATTGCGTGCAAATTCTGGACAATAACTGTTATATGAATATACCATATTTTTTACTTTACTCTACTTTATACTATACCGAAACAGAATAGGTCAAATTTTTAAGCAAGTTCATGATCATGGCGTAACAGTTTGCAGGAATTCACGTAATTTGTTTAATTAGTATTTCGACATTCCAGGTAAGTTAAGTTGAAAGTATTTTAAAACATAATCATTTGTTGTATACCTTTTTGATTTGTGTCGTTGGATGTTGTCTCATCGTGGTATATCCCACTTCTCGTTATATTGGTATGACTTCTCGATATGTTCGTATGTAATTTAGCATTTGTAAAACTTACATTTACAGAAGAAAAAACACATTGGCATGAGTAAAACATTACACTTGCGGAAATCATAGACTACCTCTCGTTTTATATACTGAAACCAAGTATAAACATATTTTCTGATTGAGAGTACATCATGAACATTATTCCTGAAGCAATTGATTTGCGCATGAAAATATAAATTACCAATTTCACACTGTAGTATTTGTCTAATCGGTACTAATTATGATATTCTTATTAAAAGATCAAAACATAACTAATTTTGTTTAATTGCTATACAGCTATTCAAACCGATTGGAATATTATATTGCATTTAAAACTTGTTTCATGAGTACAATTAAAAAAGTGCATAAAATTAGTAACAAGATGTTGAAAAGAACTTTTATAATTTCTTGATCTTAATTTATTCATTTGTTAACAAGTTTGAATATAATTGATTCTCAGTACATAAATAAAAACGTTAAAGCTAACTGGAATTTATTAAAAGCTCCCTTAACGAATTTATAAATACAAATGTCGTCTGCTTAGAAGTGTAGCTATTGCAATAGCCTACCACGATTTTTAATGATTCGTTCAACGTGAGGAACCCTGTCCAAAACACTGGCATGGAATCTACAGTGACATTTGTGCATAGAGTGAAATCATCTAACTGAATTTCATGTTTGCACGTTTCCGGAATAATATCATCAAGACTGCCCATGTTTGAAATAGACAAGACAAATGGTGACTTCCCCATTCTCGGTTGATTGTTTATTTCTGATGGAACGTCTCGCAGTAACACTTTCATTGGTTCCCCGGTAGCTAGACTTTGGTCAAGTCGTGTCTGGCATTGTTGAGCTATGGACCAAAAGTTTCCCTTGGATTTTAGGTCTAAGAGATTCATCTCAACTAGAAATGGTAGGTGAATTGCCCCGACGCTTCCAAACGACTGTTTAATTCTGTCATCTATAATGTATCTTGTTAAGTCAACCATTATTTCTACGGGGACAACAAATCTGCTGGAACTCGATGGAAGTGCTGTTTGAATAAGCTGTGTAAACGAAATAGTCATGGCTGTAACTATTGCAGACGTTATTTTAACGTTATGGTGTTTACATTGTCGGAAAAATGATCTCGACTCCGTCTCCTTTAGTTGTAGGGTGCACATTTCTGTTGAAATATTTTTTTTCTGCAGTTCTGCGATTTCGTAATGAAATGCTGCATTGTATGTGTCTATTGCACATGTTGGCCATTTTGTGCTATGGTTTGGCTGAGATACTTTCTTTACAACATCCAATGGTATAACATGTTCGATCGATGGACATAGATTGCGCTTGTATATCGGAGCTGTTGACAGTACTCTCTGTGAGTTAAGAATGTTTCTGGTCAAGCTCTGAACGATTATATGAATTTGATTAAAATCTGATATTGCATGATGAAAAATGAAGAAGAAATGGAATGGATATTGCAATGAATTTTCACCATGCCTAGTTGGATGTTTTAACCATGTAAATTTCCAAAGAGGACCTCGACTAAAATCGAATTTATGTAGTCGTTCTTCAATCAGTATTGTTTCGTCAGTGTTTGTGTACTGTTCATGGATGGAAACGGGCATGTGTTTCCTTTCAACAAATTTGTAGGAATGGCGGCCAGTTTGGACAATTGTTAATCGCAAAGCTGCATATTCATCTACAAGTGTAAACAATGCTTCCTGAACGTGATGACGCGTTACAGGATGTTTTGTCGACATTTTAAAGTATACAGGAATGACATCAATTTCTCGGCAGGTATACTTGTGGTAGATTGTTTCTAATAATCCCAATGTCCTTGACATTTTGGGGTTTGTTTGTGAGTACGGACGTAGGTTCTTCTCTGACATAGTCTGACGTATCACTACCTGAAATCAAACAAAATCATTAAAACATATAACTATACATTTAAACTAAAACTATTTGTATCGGTTACAATACTTGATATCAATCATTAAACAATATTTTTTTTAATATACTAGTTATCGCTTTTAAAATTATCTTATGGAGAAAATTAGCTTTAAATATTTCCTTTAACGCTAATGGTATCAATTATTTATAATAATATTCATAAAATGTACATACACGTATACACGCATTACGGAAGCGTCCAGCTTCTAAGAACCTATTTAGAAAATTTAAACAGGGTGGATTGTAAACAGGGTGCTACATGTGGAGCAGGATCTGCGTACCCTTCCGGAGCACCTGAGATCACCCCCAGTTTTTGGTGGGGTTCGTGTTGCTTAGTCTTTAGTTTTCTATGTTGTGTTATCTGTACTATTATTTGTCTGTTTGTCTTTTTATTTCTGGCCATGGCGTTGTCAGTTTGTTTTCGATCTATGATTTTGACTGTCCCTCTGGTATCTTTTGTCCCTCTTTTGTACCTTCAGTGGTTCTTTTGATAACGTGTTATATTTTGGAATGGATATGGGGTTTACTCGCCACGGCATTCTATTACTGATCCAAAACACGATCCAAAACAAAAAATAAAATGCCCTCCAAGTAATACTTATTTAACATAGATAACCATCTAGACGGCATCTCCTCAGATATGGTTTGAGAGAAACTCGTTCAGCATTGTGCATGAGTGACGATTTATGTCTTACAAAAAGGGTATTTTGATTTGAATTCGAAGATCACCAATTGTGAAGAACATATAATCATCCCATTAAAACGCATCTTTATAGTTTTTCTTCAGAAAAAAAGGGCTAACAACATGGCAGAAATATTACTGAGATGTTCCCCCTAAATCAATGAGGTATTTTTTTGCAATAGAAATTTAAAGCACAAATTATAGGTTTTTATTGACTGAAACTTCACATAATTTTTTTTACCAGAAATCACCCTGCCAATTTAATATTTAGATATATATTCTTTCTTTTTTTCTTTTTTTCTTTTTTTTTGGGGGGGGGAAGGGGGAAGGAGGAGGCAGGGGAATTTCCAACTTCGTAATTTTGTTGCCGATTTGAAATCCAAGATGGTCGTCGCAACGGAATTCATACAACACTGAAGAAAAGAAAAATGTTTACATCGTTCTGGTAAGCGTTGGGTTACACAAAATTTCATTATTAGGTTCTACATTTGACACTTCGGAACAATTCAAACGGCAAATGCTTTATTGCTTTAAAAAATGTTACTGCACAAGTATCAGAGTATCATGACCTGGAATAGTTCGTATCTAAAAGAATGTCAAGTGAACTTATCGTATTAGAAAAATAACACAAACGAAGTATAAGTAATCAAGGTAACGTTGGTGCACCAGTAGTCTACATCTTTTCTTCGATCAGCTGTTCAAATTGATGACTAATATGCGGGGGAGAAATTAACCTTGAGACGTCATGTAATGGGAACTATGCCTAGATGTGCAGACAGTATTTAGAAATTTCAAAATTGTCATGGCAACAAGGGGAACGTTAACATTAACCCTATTGGAAAACACATTAAAACTGCATTTTCTAAACGAATATTGGATCAAACCCAATGAAACCTTGTGGATATGTAACATGGCATGAGTCAATGTGGCAGTTGTTGTTGGAGTTATCCAAATAGCCACCAGGAAACATGCAAAAAAATTTAAATGCTCCAAACGTTACGAAACTTTAAAGAAATGTTAACTGGTATGTGCAGATGTGGCTTTTGATTTTGGAATTTCCAAAATGGCCGCTGTTACCATGGAAACAGTAAAAATGTGAAAAATTGAGAAGTGCTTTCAACTTCATGAAAATTTACAGACAGATGTGTTGTGATGTATATATGTGCATTCACTGTTTAAAGATTCAAAGTGAATAGTGGCTATTGGCAGCAAGGGTGCCATCCGCTATAAGTCGCAACTGCAAATCTTCTATTGGGGTGACGGTTTGATGATGATGATGATGGATAGCTGCTAAACGTACAGCGACAAATCAATATGCATGTTCATGGTGAGAACATTTCAGTGTAATTATGAATATTAACCCTGCTTTGAACTAGACCGACACGCTGAGTCGGAATTTTAACGTGCTAGTTCTAAGGTAACAATCCACAGGAAGACATATCACCTTACCTAATTCATTGTTCTTCCTCCGAGTCGACCATTCTTTGCTCTTACTCCTTGATGTCACGTGCTAAGCGGAGAACCAGCAAATGCCAATCTTAAACTATTTGGTGTGACCTGACCGGGGTTCGAGCCAACGACTTCTAGCACTCGAGGCGAACACGCTACCAAGAGACCACCGAGGCAGTTGTGACTGTTTGTTATTCAACGTTTCTTTTTTATTTTTATTTTTCCAAACAATTTTGTCCGCTCTCGATCTCAGAATCGACCCAAATTGGTGGGACTATACAATAATGTTAACCACCATGTGCAGGTGTGCAATAGGGGGTTGGCATTTACAAAAATGCTGCCATGGCCATGACGAACTGAACCTTATCATTTTGCTACAAACATGTTAGATATAACTGATGAGAGCGAATGTCCTTGATTTGAATCCATGTGTTCAATGAAATTTCATATTAGCACATTATTTTTTATTGACATATCTTGAATGGAACATTTTTTGAGTTAGAAAAAGGATAAACCTATATTGTTTGGCTTTTTATCGATTAAAATTCAGATCTGTCATAATTCGCCTGTTCGTATTTATTCTCATATCTCATATCTCAATCTATTTTTTGATTAGATTGGCCGACAAAAAGATAAAACATCTCTCAAGTTACATCACCAAAACAAACTATTCGTCTGTAAATTTAAAATAGATAAAATATACCACCTACATATTCATTTAGTTAATTTGTCTTTTAAGAATCTAAAGAACTGTGGGTTATTGCATTGTTCGTAAACCAAAATTGAAAATATCGTCACTCCATAGGTCAGACTAACATAGTTAAAACGGTGATTTGTCTTTCATTGCATTGTCTAAAAGTATCCTCCAATTCGATCCTACTCTTTTCGATTGCATCAGCTATTCAACGCGTGCTTAGGTTTAATATTTTCTAATATTTTGGCTTTGATATATTAATTGTCTAAATCTACATATGGCAGTGGCAGAATAAGGGTGTGACTAAGAGGGCGTACCCCCTTTTGAATAAAAAAAAAATCATTTTTAAGGCATGGAATCATCGGTAGCAAGTGAATTCGTACCTTGACCATTTCATACCTCTGCCATTTCGTACCCAAAATTACCATTTTGTACCCAACATTTACCATTTCGTACCCACGGTAGAAACCATTTCGAATTCGTACCCTATGGGCCAAATGCATCTACCATTTCGTACCTCATGGACTAGATACATGTTTACTATTTCGTATTATATATTTGTAAAAGTCATCATTTTTTTAAGATATAAAACATTTTGAGATGATTTTTTTTTATTTTTAAATAACATAAATAAAATGCATCCAGCCGTAGAAATGTTATAAAGACCGATGATTGGTTTGATTAAGCAGCACTTGGAAACTTTAACAGTTTTAATTACACTTTGTTTGTTTGCAGAATTTATGCTTAATTAATTTTTAATTAATTTTTCAACTCTAAAAATATGAGGTTAATTAACCAACAAAGGTATAATTATCTGCAACTGTTTTTATAGTTATTTACAGTTGGTTTAGTCAGGAAATGCAGTGAAAAGGTACACAAACTGATATTCACCCAAGAAGGAAGCCATGAATAAAAATGTTTGCATAAGAATTTACACCTTTTGTGACCAATCAAAGAACTTGCTATGGTTTTTTTCAATTTGAGAAATTACAAGTTCATTTATTTTGTATCCTTATATCTAACCTTCTAAATTTTAAAAACGTTTGGTAAATATCTTTTTTTCATGTGTATTGCATATTTTCTAAAAGTATTATTTTTAAAAAAATCCATGCATATGATATATACATTTAGGTTCAACTAATATTTGAAATAAATATCTTAAATACAAAGTTTTACAGATTTCAAAAAATTTCGTTTATTGACTTTATTCCTATTTGTATAATATCTCATAGGTGCTTTCATTTTAAATTTTAGACATTTCTCGTGACCTCTACCGCCTCACAGTAAAAGGTCAATGAGACTGTTTTAACCAAGAAATAAAACACATATAAATCCTCCACGATGTACGAAATGGCAAACATACAAACCTTCCATGAGGTACGAAATGGTATACATATAAATCTTCCATGAGATACGAAATGCTATACATATAAATATTCCATAAGGTACGAAATGGCGCACATCAATGAGACAGTTTTTACCAAGAAATGAAACACTAATAAATCTTCCATGAGGTACAAAATGGTATACATACAAATCTTCCATGAGGTACGAAATGGTATACATATAAATATTCCATGAGGTACGAAATGGTAAACATGTAAATATTCTATGAGGTACGAAATGGTCAAGGTACGAAATGGTCAGGGCACGAAATGGTTTTTGCCAGGGTACGAAATGGGGGGTACGAAATGGTTAGGGTACGAAATGAATATAATTCAAATCATCCATATATCTATCGTGTTCGAGAATTATACCCACCTTTCAAAATACCCTGGATCCGCTCCTTTATGATACACTTAAAATTGGTACCGATAAGGTTATTGTTGTTTCATTGAACAAAATGTCTCCTTCCATACTGTGAATTAAGTAAGGTGACGATCTAAATACGTTAAGCAGCGCTGTGATTTTAACTCGTATTTAAGTCTTATACACTAAAGTTAAGAAACTCTGCTCTTATTCTGCCCATCTCAATCTTAACATGTTTAACTTCAGGCCAATATAAAAAAAAATACTGTTCTAATGTTTTAGATGATATCGGATATGTTCCTTATGTCGTAACTACAATATCATCCCTTTTCACGAATGTGACTTACCGAATTAGACTATTTACCGAATTTTAATAACATAAGCAACACGACGGGTGCCACATGTGGAGCAGGATCTGCTCACCCTTCCGGAGCACCTGAGATCACCCTCAGTTTTTGGTGGGGTTCGTGTTGCTTAGTCTTTGGTTTTCTATGTTGTGTCATCTGTACTATTATTTGTCTGTTTGTCTTTTTATTTTATTTTTTTTGGCCATGGCGTTGTCAGTTGTTTGTTTTCGATCTATGAGTTTGACTGTCCCTCTGGTATCTTTCGTCCCTCTTTTAGAGTTTCTCGGCCTGTTCTATATGTTATGGCTAAAAAAAACTAAAAAATACAAATCAATGCTTATTCAATATATTTTTTTTAAGTTTTAACACATAATGATTCCTTATACATACACGTTGTTATTTAAATTTTCGTGCACTATTTCATAAATGAACTTATGATGCAGTTTTGTCATAATTTACGAAGAAAGGTTAGAATTAAAGTTTAATTCTAACCTTTCTTCGTAAATTATGACAAAACTGCATCATAAGTTCATTTATGAAATAGTGCACGAAAATTTAAATAACAACGTGTATGTATAAGGAATCATTGTGTGTTAAAACTTAAAAAAAAAATATTGAATAAGCATTGATTTGTATTAAAACTCCCAAAAATAATAAATATGCATTATGTGTTGAAACCTAAAAAAAAATTAAATTAACCTTGTTGTATTTTACGAAATGAGTTTCAGGTCACAGTCAACCTGTTCATTTTTTTATCACTTTAACTTTTAGGATGTACTTAGGTGAAATTAAGAAAATCTAGAATTTGAAATTGATACTATAAGTCGGCAGAGCATTAGTTAAGGAACACAATAAGCTAAAACATTGATAGGTTATGGAGTTCCTTTTTGAGATAATTGATTTTTAAAAACGGCAGGAAAAGGCTGACTCGGACTTTTACGTTATATTTGAATTGGTATTATTTGGGTCTCAAATCGAAAGAATAGAAAACTAGAATCTGCTTAAAGTTTGGTAAATGACCTTTTATGAGCTAGTGAAGACTTATATGAAAATGAAAATGGGTGCTATGGGGCAAAATATTTTACCCTATACTGAAGGCAAAAAAACAAGGAGTCCGAACATCTGACACAAATTCCTAAACCTCACCTAAGTACATCCTTAAAAATCAATCACATAACTTACAAAGTCTAATATTGATTATAAGTTTTGTATTAGGCAGTTAAAATAGTAAAAAGTAAAAGAGGAAAATTCAAAAAGGAAAGTCCCTAATCAAATGGCAAAATCAAAAGCTCAAATACATCAAACGAATGGATAACAACTGTCATATTCCTGACTTGGTACAGGCATTTTCTTATGTAGAAAATGGTGGATTGAACCTGGTTTTATAGCTAGCTAAACCTCTCACTTGTATGACAGTCGCATCAAATTCCAAAAATGATACAAGACTAACCTGTTTGTTTACACCAGTCTTTTTGACCACCATGTCTGCAATAATCAAAGTAAGCGATTTAATATCTAAATTTGCAGTTGATGAATTACTCAAATATAAACATGTTTTTGTTGTTCTATTAAAAACATATATGATATATTACGATAGTGTTTACCGATAAAAGAGAGGCGAAAGTTAACAATAAACTTACAACGCCATGGCTAAACGAAAAAAGACAAACAGACAAACAACAGTACACTAATAACAAAATAGACAACTAAAGACTGAGCAATACGAACCTCACCAAAAAATTGGGGGTGATGTCAAGTGCTCCGGAAGGGTAAGCAGATCCTGCTCCACATGTGGCACCCGTCTTTTTGCTCATGTTGGTACAAACCCGGTGATAAGTCTTATTCGATAGGTCACATTCGGGGAAAAGGGGACGGGATTGTAGTTACGACAATTTGAATATATCCGTTGTCATCTATGAAACGGATATATTCCATAACGGTCAACCAAGTCGTAATGGCATCTGTAATTTTCCGAAGTGATGATTTCAACTTCATCACTTGGAACTCTTTGTTTAATAGCTTCATTGTTCATCATATCCGTCGTATGCAGGTGCTGCTGGAATGTTGCTGCATGCAGAAATGGAAAAAATCAGAATTGGGAAGCTGAAATCATCACTTTTGCCGTAAAGTTTTGTTTCAACCGACCCTCATTGTCAATTTCTAGATGTAAGTCAAGATATGAGGCAGACTTAACTGTATCTCTTGTATCCTTTATCTCAAGATCGATGGGATAGATGTCTTCAACATAGTCACCAAATTTTGAATTATTTAGTGAGAAAACATCATCCATATCGTAGAAAGTGAAGTTAAAGGATACTGCGAACCTTTTTTCTCTTCCTAAAAAGTTCCTGTATGAAGTCAGCCTCATATGAATAACGGAACAAGTCGGAAAGAAGAGGAGCACAATTGGTTCCAATGGAAAGGCGAATTGTTTGTTGAAAAACACGTCCTCCAAACGTAACAAATATGTTGTCAATCAAGAAATCAAGCATCTTGATAATGTCAGTTTCAGAGAATTTTTTTTGTTCGAATCAGAGTGATTTTTTTACAAAGTACGATTTATCCCTCCCTAGAACAAGATACATGTATCTCCGTTGGCCATTCTTTTTTATAAAACAAAGCAGGACCAACTTTTTCAATTTGCCTTTTAGTTTGGAATGGGGAATACTTGTGTTTAGTGTAGAAAAAGTCAAATGTGTTAATACTATTGCAAGATGAAAGAGTTTTAGATTGTATGAACTCTAAAAGATCTTTGGATTTTTTTAGTATCCACATCTGATTATTCACGCCTCAAGTCACCAGTTCAGCAGGATAAATCTCTTTAGTGTACATACTGAAGTCGTCATTATTTGGAGCCAAAATATCATCCAAATATCTAAGAGTGTTATTAAATTTTTGTATCAGATGTTGTTTCGATGGGTCTTTGTTGATTTGAGTCATAAATTGTAACTCATAACAATACAGAAACAGGTCCGCAATAAGTGGTGCACAGTTAGTCCCCATTGGAATTCTGATTACTTGACGATATACGGAATCTCCATACCGAACAAAAATGTTATCTAGTAAAAATTCAAGTACAGTTATCGTATCAATGCAGGTCCAATTGACATAGTTCTTTTGTTTGTTGTTACTAAAAAAATGACCTAAAAGTGTTTGAACATATATGTTCGCATTCTGACTTTTTAAATGCCCATTTAATTAGGTGTGTGAATTTTTTCTTAATGAGATTATGAGGCAAAGTAGTATATAGAGTAGGAAAATCAAAACTTTGAATAGATTTGAAATCACCAATATAAGCATGCAATTCATCAAGTATTTCCAACGAATTTTTGACACTCCAAAAGTAATTAATTTCACTATTTTCAAAGGCTTTATTTGAACAATGTATTACCAGGTTTTTGATTGTTCCAAGTGTACTAGTAAGTAGAATAGACAGTTTAGTAGTGTAACAATGGCTTGAAAACGAAATAAATCTATATTTGTAAGGGGTTTTGTGCAGCTTCGGAAGCCAGTACATAGTTGGAACTTTCATTGTATTTGGTTCTGCTTGTAAAGTATAGCTAAAAGTTTATGTTAGTTACAGATGTCATTTTCCAAAAATGGAATCAGTTTGAATGTAGGTGAATTCGTGATTTCCTATTGAAGAATCTCAATGTAAAATTTATGTTAAACAATAATGATATTATTAGCAGCCTTATCAGCCGGGCCAAAAACAAATTCCTTGGCGAGTTCTTTTAGCTTATGTTTGATACGATAATCCTCGACTGAATCCGTTAGTATTTGATGTTGTGTTTCCAATTCATGGATTTAGGCTCACGATATTTCGGCCCTTTAAATAAAACATTTCGCAGAGAAGTATTATTGACAATGTTTAGGTCACCAGTAATAACGTGGCCAGTCGGATTATATAGGAACTATGAATGGGGAACTAGCACAGGTGCAATCAGGGTGCTTTAGAGTCAAAGTCGTCATTATTGAGATCCTACAACACAAGTTTGTAATTGAAAATTTTAGTTGCTACACAAAGTTTTTCGTTACAAAGTGTTTCATGAAAAAAGTAAGGTATTGTCCAGGCAGTCCCTTAAAACACGGGTTAAAAACAATGTTGTTTCTCGAGCGTAAGGTATGAATGATTTTAAATAAAATATGGTAAAACATTAAAAAAAATATCAAGATGTCATATATTTAAAGATGAAGTCATCACTAAATTACTAAACTATTCCACAATTTTTCATGTGAAATTTTGTCGAAATATATTTTATCTTGCTATTCTAATTGAATATAACGTAGGAAATGGATTAACATCGTTTAGATAATTAAATGTAGATCTACTACGTCCAGACGAAGAACAAGAAAAGGCTTTACCACTGTACAATGAACACAAAAATGTATGTGTACGTTTTAGATAATGCATATTTTAAGGTGTTTCTTGCCGTATAACACACCGAGGGGTGACAGAATTGATCAAATGAAAGACCGACCGTAGAGAGGTCTCATTTGTTGACAATTCTGAAACCCCGAGGTGTGTTATACGACATAATATACCTATATGGAGTTATTTTCTTTCAAAACGATAGGTTTTTCTTTTGAAGAATCAATCCGGACAATGAAATTTGCTTCAAGGCATTTGGATTTTACAAGCAAGAAAACAATAACAAAAATATACGTACTGTTTCCATGTGTCTTGAACAAGTGGGTGTGTTTTCTTCGAAAATGAAATATTAAAGGGAAGAAAACACACCTCACAGTACTTTTAAGTGAATAAATATCCATAATAGCTGATAATTTAACAATACAGTTTACAGGAGTATCAGTTCCGGAGTTAATGGAGTGTTCTTACCGGTGTATATGGTAATATTATTTAACAACCTGTTTTACCCTGTTTATATAGTATGCATGACTAAATCACCTGAGCAGCACAAGCAACCTTATGTGCCTTTTCAATTCATAAAGATATTTTAAATGGACATTAAAATTTACTTGAAGATTTAATAAAGATAGCATGTTGACTTTTACCTTACATTATTCAAATTTACTCAAGTTGAAATAAAGATTTAAATCTTACATCATATACAAGATGAAGAATATGGTTTGCAGATTAACTTGAAATATATTCATGTATCTATCAAACTATTAATCTCAATAGTTTCTTCACCCCGCCGCATTTTTGCGCCTATCCCGGGTCAGAAACTTCTATCCTTTGTTGGTCTTGTATGATTTTTTTTATTTAGATTCATTTGTATGTTTCTTAATTAAGTGTGGTATTCATTTCGCTGTACTTGTATATATTATTGTTTATGGTCCTGTAGAAGCCCGCCTCAGGGCGCAAGATTTTCTCTCTGCGTTAAAGACCCATAGGTGGCTTTGGGCCGTTTTCTGCTCTTTGGTCGGGTTTTTGTCTCTTTGACATATTTCCTGTTTCCATTCTCTATTCTTGTGAAATCTTATCACGAATTGTTTAAATAAAAAAAATGATATTACTTTACCACGGAATTTCAAAATTCGAAATCAGAAAATTCTATATAAAATTTTGATAACAAACATACCAAACTCCGGGGAAAATTTCTAACGGAAAGTTCCTAATAAAATGGCAAAATTAAAAGCTCAAACACATCAAACGAATGGATAATAACTGTCATATTCCTGACTTGGTACAGACATTTTCTTATGTAGAAAATGATGGATTAAACTTTGTTTTATAGCTAGCTAAACCTCTCACTTGTATGACAGTCCCATAAAATTCCATTTTAAAAGGAAACTCTTCTGCTGATTTTCCTCTTTATTTTCTTTTTCAATTTCATAATGAAAATATTTATTGTAAAAAATAATTTGCGGAAAGAATGCATCGAAAATTTAAATTCGCTGAAACAGCAGTTTAAATTGACCACATACTTGTCGTTGATAACATGTCAAGGGATATCCTCATTTTATTTGAGTCTTATGTTGTAAAAAAGATACATTTTCAAAGTTTTATATCTTATCAGTTGAACTTGAAATAAAGGATACCACAGATTCAGTAATATCTACTCCATATATTGACTTAATCTAGAAATTGCTGATGCAGGTCGGCTGAGAACTACACTGGCATTTAGAAGAGACGATTTCAATTTTACTATTTTGAACTTTCCATTTCTGTGCATTCAGGTGGCTCCATCATATAGAAAAAAAGTAAAATAAAAAAAACGAACTCTGAGAAAATTTCTAAACGGAAAGTCCTTAAGCAAATGGCAAAATCAAAAGCTCAAACAGATCAAACAAATGGATTACAACTGTCATATTCCTGACTTGGTACAGGCATTTTTTATATAAAAAATGGTGGATTAAACCTGGTTTTATAGCTAGCTAAACCTCTCACTTGTATGACAGTCGCATAAAATTCCATTTTATTGACAACGATGTGTGAACAAAACAAACAGACATAATAGGTAAAAATGTCAAAAATAGGGGTACAACAGTCAACATTGTGTTATAATCTTAATCACTATAAAAACAAACAAATATGTTAACAAAGAAAAACAAAAAGGCATATAGACAAAGCACATTAGCAAAAACGAAAGAGAAGAATAAAAAAATTAACCATAGCACAATAACACAAAGACGGGATGTATAAGTACCAAGCCACGTCAAATAGATATTACCAAATATAGACTAAACAGTAAAAGTAATAATTTAAAAAGACAAATAAAAAAATACTATAACACGTTATTAAGATGATAAACAACGTCAGTACCTTGAATCTATTTTTCAAGACCATCATGTATTATTTATGAAGTTGATACGGAATATTTATCAACAAGGTCTTGGTATCTTCCGATGAACTTTTTTTAGAAAAAGGACTAGACGTTCTTTGACATACCCCTGGTTCATCAACTGTCTGCTCAGGCACTGGTGACGTTTTACAAAGTCTGAGTAGCAGCTGCAAGTGTTGACTGCTGTACCCCTATTTTGACATTTTACCTTTTATGTCTGTTTGTTTTATTCGCGCATCGTTGTCAATATAATGGATTGTGATGCGACTGCCATACAAGTGAGAGGTTTAGCGCTATAAAAGCAGGTTCAATCCACCATTTTCTACATAAGAAAATGCCTGTACCAAGTCAGGAATATTCCTTTTTTGTGAAAATGAAAATTTTGTTGAATAGATAGGGATTTTGAATTGGTGGTCTGACACGGATGCATGGACTCGATATTATATATCAACATTTTGTGTGTATTGTTGTTTAGACGTCATATAATTAACCATCGAGATGACCTCCGAAGACTGCCGACGGTCATATAAACCGACATAAAAATAAATATAAATAGATGGCGACCACGTGGAATTGGTCTGTTGGATTTCAATATTGTAGGTTAAAAAGGTATGTTTATCGTTTTACCTGTATAAGAATGAGTTTTTGTCGAGTCAGTCAACCAAATGATTCATCCCTGTTTCGCTTTTAATGTTGACATTCTTTTCCTTTTCATAGTTAAAGACATGCGAAACCCATCACAAGCCAAGGGGTTAAATTGAACTCGCAAGTGAATAATTCATCTGCAATATTTCTAAGATTATTGAGTAGAGTATACATGCTGCGCCTTTCATCCCATCAAGTAACATGTAGAACAAAAAAAAATAATGTTGACCATGTCCTCGTCCTACATTGATTGTTAATTGCCGTTTAGATGTAGATATTGCGTGCAAATTCGGGACAATAACTGTACATGTGATATGAATATACCATATTTTGTACTATACCCTATTTTGTACTATACCGAAACAGAGTAAGTCAATTATTTAAAGTGCAAGATCATGGCGTAACAGTTTGCAGGAATTCACGTTGTAACTGCAAGTAATTTGCTTTTTTGGTATTTCAACATTCCAGGAAAGTTATTTTGAAACTGCTACGGCGAATTACTGAAACACAGAGTACTTTAAAACAAAATCATTCATTATATATCTTTTTAGTTTTTGTGTCAGTGTCTGCTGTTTCAATGTAATTTATGACTTTACAGTTATAAACGAAAAACTCCTTGGTGTAAATGAAATATTTCATGTGGAAATCATCTATAGCTCTCGTTTAATATACTGAAACCAAGTATAACACATGTTTTCTAATTAAGCGTACATCATGAATGTTATTCCTGAAGCACTTGATTTGCGCATGAAAATACAAATTATCAATCTAACACTGTAGTATTTGTCTCATCGGTACTAACTTTAATTTTGTTTTTAATACTTTGAAACATAACTAATTTTGTATTGTTTTACAGCTATTCAAACTTATTGGCATTTTATATTGCATTTAAACCTTGTGCCATGTGTACATTTAAAAGAGTGCGGAAAAGTAACAAGATCTTGACTTAACAATTTCTTGATCTGCTCGCGGCCGGATTGCAAGGCGTCCGGTGGCAATGTGAACTGTATGAATGCTCCTCATGTTCACAAAGATGGGCATCACTGTTGAAGGCCGTGCGGTGACCTATATTTGTTAATTTCTGTGTCATTTGGTCTCATGTGAAGAGTTGTCTCTTTAGGAATCATACCACATCTTCTTATCTTTCTATATAATATTCTACTTCTTCTGATTTCCTAATAAGATAATTTATTCATTTGTTAAAAAATTTTGAACATAAATGATTCTCAGTATACAAAAACACCGTTAAAGCTTACTGCAATTTATTAAAAGCTGCCTTAATGAACTTGTGAATAAATCTGTCGTCTGCTTAGAAGTGTAACTATTACAATAGCCTGCCACCATTTTTAATGAGCCATTAAACGTAAGAAACCCTGTACAAAACACTGGCATGTCATCCACTGTGACATTTGTCCATGGAATGAAGTCCTCTAGCTGAATTTCATGTTTGCACGTTTCCGGAATAATATCATCAAGACTGCCCATGTTTGAAATAGACAACACAAATGGCGACTTTCCAATTTCCGGTTCATTGTGTATTTCTGATGGAACGTCTCGCAGTAACACTTTCATTGGTTCCCCGGTAGCTAGACTCTGGTCAAGTCGTGTCTGGCATTGTTGAGCTATGGACCAAAAGTTTCCCTTGGATTTTAGGTCTAAAAGATTCATCTCAACTAGAAATGGTAGGTGTATTGCCCCGACGCTTCCAAACGACTGTTTAATTCTGTCATCTACAATGTATCTTGTTAAGTCAACCATTATTTCTACGGGGACAACAAATCTGCTGGAACTTGGTGGGAGTGCTGTTTGAATAAGCTGTGTAAACGAAACAGTCATGGCTGCAACTATTGCAGACGTTATTTTAACGTTATGGTGTTTACATTGTCGAAAAAATGATCTCGAGTCCGTCTCGTTTAGTTGTACGGGGCATATTGCTGTTGAGAGATTTCTTTTCTGTAGTTCGGCGATTTCGGAATTAAATGCTGCATTGTATGTGTCTATTGCACATGTTGGCCATTTTGTACTATCGTTTGTCTGAGATACTTTCCTTACAAAATCTAATGGTATAACATGTTCAATCGATGGACATAGATGGCGCTTGTATATTGGAGCTGTAGGCAGTACTCTCTGTGAGTGAAGAATGTTTCTGGTCAAGCTCTGAACGATTGTATGAATTTGATGGAAATCTGATATTGCATGATGAAAAATGAAGAAGAAATGGAATGGATATTGCAATGCATTTTCACCATGCTTAGTTGGATTCTTCAACCATGTAAATTTCCAAAGAGGACCCCGACTAAAATCGAATTTATGTAATCGTTCTTGATTCAGTATTGTTTCGTTAGTGTTTGTGTATTTTTCATGGATGGAAACGGGCATGCGTTTCCTTTCAACAAATTTGTATGAATGACGGCCAGTTTGGACAATTGTTAACCGCAAAGCTGCAAATTCGTCCACAAGTGTAAACAATGCCTCCTTAACGTGATGACGCGTTACAGGATGTTTTGTCGACATTTTAAAGTATACTGGACAGACATCAATTTCTCGGCAGGTATACGTGTGGTACATTGTTTCTAATAATCCCAGTGTCCTTGACCTTTGAGAGTTTGTTTGTGTGTACGGAAGTAGGTTCTCCTCTGACATAGTCTGACATGCCACTACCTGAAATCAAACGAAACATTAATACATGTAACTACACTCTTAGACGTAAACGATGTTTATAGGTTACAGGACTTGATATCAATCATTGTAAATTTTTTTTGTAAAATATTTAAGTTATCGTGTTTAGAATTATTTATATTGAGGAAGTTGGCTTAAATTATTTCCTTAACGAGAACGGTATCAAATGATTTATTTCAAAATATGTATATACACAATACGAAAACGTTCAGCTTCTGAGAAACTACTCAGCCAAATTGAACAGGACGGAATGTTCTTTCAGTTTTTTGTTTGTTTTTTTTTTAACGTGTAATATTTCGAAAGGAAATTCAACATGACTGCCTGGACCAACTATGGATTCCGATTGACATGTGTTTTTTCTCGACATGGCATTTTATTACCGATCCAAAATCCAAAATGACCGCCACACTGTCTCTCCTTAGAAATTGTTTTAGAGATTAAAGTTAAATGGGCTTACAACATGGCATATATATTACTAAGTTGGTGAACATAATTTTAGAGTGGGTTTTTTTGGCATTAGAAATTTAGATCACAAGCGCAAATTATGGGTTTTGATGGACTGAAACTTCGAATATGTTCTTACAAAAAACCACTGAGCCAATTGAATAGCTAGATACACATTCTTTATTTTTATTTTTTTTTTGTTTCTTTTGGGGGGGAGGGGTGGGGAGGGGAGAGCTTTTCCAACTTCATACTTTTGTTGCCGATTTGAATTCCAAAATTGTCGGTCACAGCGAAATTCATACAACACAGAAGTTCACAAAATTGTATGGATATTTCTGGTAAACGTGGAGTACTGTACACAAAATTTCATTATCAAGAATTCTAAATTTGACACTTCAGAACACAGGAGGTAAACTTTAAGGGAACGACCATTTAACTGCAAAGAGGGGGGGGGGGGGTTATGGTTTTTTCTTAAAAATGTATTCTGATCCCCAATTTGATGAAAAAAATATTGAGGTCAAGCAGATGACAAAATAAAATATTATGAATCCAGATTTTCCCCATACCTTATAGTGTTAAATTTTGAATAAAATAATTTGATTGATAGCGTCGAAAAACTAAAAAAAAATGTTCGAGATTTGCGCAAAAAAAAAATCTGTCTCAGACAAAAAACCATAACCCCCCCCCCCTACTTGAAGTTAAATGGTTGCTTCCTAAATGTTTTCTTTTTAATGCTTTACAATTGGTTATACTGCATAAGTATCGAGTATATTATGACCTGAAAATTTTTCGTTTCTAAAAGAATGTCGAGTGAACTTATCGCAACAGATAAAGAATACAAACAAAGTGTGAAGAATTAATTAAGGTAACGAGGATGCACCAGTAATCTACATTTTTTCTTCGATCAGCTGCAGAAGTCGACGTTTCAAATCACCAAATACCAATTTTTCCTAATTATTTGTATTTATTTTCAGACTGTGTGATTAAATATATATGTAACATTGTCATGGTTGATTGTTGTTTACCTATCGTCCAGTGGCAAATAGTTCAAGCATATTCACGACGAGAAAGATGTCTTGAATATCTATAATAGTTAGGCTAAGCACTCGGTATAAAATAAGTAGTAAAGCTTGGCAAGCAACGCATAATATATCTGTTTTTTCTGCCTCGTATACAAAATATGTATATTATATTTTTCGAGATATTGGACATGTATTGTCTTTATAGATGATCAATTGATTCGTGACTAAAATTGAATTACTACCTTGTCAAACTTATTGTTCGCAAAAATTGAAGTAAATCCAAATTAAAACATATATTGGTGAAAAGCAGTAATTGAGAGCAATATCTTTGAAATACTCCCTATGCTGCCTTATATATAAACACACTAGCTTAGATGGTTTTGGCTTTAAAACAAGACAAGGCTTAAAAGAGACCAGGTTTAAACGACGAGGTCATAAACAGAATTATATTTCGAATATCCATTAAAAAATGCTTGGCGTTGCAACAATGGCGTCGGATAATTATCAATTTATCAATAATCGAATTCAGATTTCAAGACAATAGAATACAGAATGGAATCGGGGAATGTGTCAAAGAGACAGCAACCCTACAAAGAGCAAAAAAAAAACAAAGTCCACCAATGGGTCATCAACGCAGCGAGAAAATCCTGCACCCAGAGACGGTCTTCAGCTGGTCCCTAAACAATAATGTATCCTAGTTCAGCGAAATGGACGCCACACTTAACTCCGAAACATGCAAATGAACCAAAATTTAAAAAAAACACACAAGACTACAAAGGCTATAGATTCCTGACTCGGGACAGGCGCAAAAATGGGGCATGTTTTGTGTGTGATATCTCAACCCCCCACCCCCCCCCCCCCCTTTTTCCCCTTTTGAATAAACAAATACAGTTACATGGTAATACGAACAGTAAAAATCTAATTTGAATTAATTATAAAAGTATGATTATATAAAGTAATTGCTCAATCATTTTTTACTCCCGTAGTTGACATGGCGGTTACAACGTTACATTTGCTACAATAACGCATTTTATCATAATGAACGTCTGGTCGGAAAAGAGAAATTATATCCGATACACAGGCCGAGGAATCTTGGTTTTTCTTAACTTAAAGTTAAATTCGGATCTATCACAACTCGCGTGCTCGTATATATTCTCATATCAGGATAACGAAATAGGAGATCTATATTTTATTTAGATCGGTAGATTGGTAGACAAATAGACACATTCTATATGTTCATGTCCGAAGCCAGGAGCCTGTAATTGAGTGGGTGTCGTTTTCTGCTGTTTCTCATATTTATTTTTCGTTTATTTTGTTTTGCACAGTTTGATCTTATGTTGTATCGTTACTCCACTGTCCCAGGTTAGGGGGAGGGTTGGCGCCTTCAATCTAGTTTAACCCAGCCACATTCTGTATGTGCCTGTCCAAAGTCAGGAGCCTGTATTTCCGTGGTTGTCGTTTGTTGCTGTATATCATATTTGTTTTTCGTTATTTGTTTTGTACATAAATCAGGCCGTTAGTTTTCTTGTTTGAATTGTTTTACATTTGTCATTTCGGGGCCTTTTATAGCTGACTATGCAATATGGGTTTTGCTCATTGTTGAAGGCCGTACGGTGACCTATAGCTGTAAACTTCTTTGTCATTTGGTCTCTGGTGGAGAGTTGTCTCATTGGCAATCATACCACGTCTTCTTATTTTTAAATCAACTCTCAAGTTACATCACCAAAACAATGAATTCGTCTTTTAATTCAAAGTGAATGTTAAAATAGGTAAAATATACCACATATATATTCATTTAGTTAATTTGCCTTTTCAGAATCTAAAGAACTGTGGGTTATTGCATTGTTCGTACCCCAAAATTGAAAATAACGTCACTCCATAGGTCAGACTAACATTGTTAAAACGGTGATTTGTCTTTCATTGCATTGTCTAAAAATTATCTTCTAATTCGATCCTACTATTTTCGAATGCATCAGCTCTTCGACCGGTGGATAAGGTTTTGGATTTTCACATGTTTTGGCTTTGAGCATCACTGAAAAGACGTTAATTGTCGAAATGCACATATTGCAGTGGCTGATTCAGGGTGAGTGTGAGTAGAGGGCGAACCTTACTCCCCCCCCCCCTCCCCCCACACACACACACACTTTAAAATCGGGAAAGATTTACTTTTTTGGCATATTAACATCGTCCATATATCTCTCATTTTCGCGAAATACGCCCCCTTTCAAAAATCCTGAATTCGCCACTGTATTGTACATTTTAGTGTATTTATAAGGAAACATTTTGTGTTAACCCTATAAAAAAATGAATAAGCATTATTTTGTATTAAAACCCTTTAAAAATGAATAATTATTATTTTGTATCAAAACCCTTTAAAATAACGAATAAGCGTTATGTGTTAAAACCTCCAAAAAATTAATGAAATTGACCTTGTTGTATTTACGTAATCACGTTCAGATTCAACTTGTTCAATATTAATAAATTGAATCTTTTTAACTTTAAAAGGCAACCAAATAACTAACAGTCCCATATTGATAATAAGTTGTGTATTTTAAAAGTAGTTGTTTAAATAAATACAAGACTAACCTGTTTGTTTACAACAGTCTTTTGATCCTCCATGTCTGCAATACACAAAGTAAGCGATTAAATATCGGAATTTGCAGTTGATGAATTACTCAAAAGTAAAAATCTTTTTGTAGTTCTATCAATAACATGTGTTATTTATTACGATAGTGTCTACCGATATAGTGTATTACACAAAGTTTCTCGTCACAGTTTGCTCAAGAATAAGCAAGGTATTGTCCAGGTAGTCTTTTAAACCACTGGTTAAAAACAATGTTGTTTCACGAGCCTAAGGCTTGAATGGTTTTAAATAAAATATGATAAAACGTTAAAAAAAAATGTTAGGCGATCATCTTTAAAGATTAAGTCATCACTTAATTACTAAACTATTCCGCAATTTTAGCAATTTGACCTTAATTTTGGCGAACTCTTATGAAAATACATTTTATCTTGCTATTCTAATTGAATATCTCGTAGGAAATGGATTAACATCGTTTAGATAATTAAATGTAGATCTACTACGTTCAGACGGAAGAACCTGAAGGCTTTAACATGGTACAATGAACACAAAAATGTAAATTTACTTCAATAGATCAAGTAAGATTATAATTTAATGCTCTTAACTTTACAGATTTAAAAAATGAAAGAATACGTTCATCATATGTAAAGGACTGTTATTTAGTCTCACTAAGGAATTTAGATATTCTCTGTGAAAGTGTGGTACATTTCATTTCCTATATAATAAATATTTTTCCGTTCATGAAATGAACTCGGTTATTTTCGTATGCCTTTTATTAGATCAATTACACCTTTCATGCGTAGAAGGGTGATCTAAATTAATGATCAACAATTATCATATTTTATCAAAACTACTGCTCTTTGATTATCGGAAAAAAATTGAAATTTATTTGTGCGACCTACTGAAGAAAAGCGAGGTTCGCCGAACCATTCAACTGCTCTTAGCTATAACAAAAGAATTAAAGAACAAGTTAAATTCTAAAAGGGGGAAGTCCATAACACTTGACAAAATCAAACGCTCGACTATATCAACCAGTGGAACGATTGAAAAACAACTGGCATGTTCTTGACTTGGTATACAGGTATTTTCCTAAGAAAATGGTGTTTTTTTTAGCTAGCTAAACCTCCCACTTGTATGACAGTTATTGATTCCGCTATATTGACAAAATTGGGCGAGCAACCCAAAAAGACAATAGGATAACGTGACCAGAATCAGGATCCAGCTGTCAAAACTGTGGAAACATACTTCACAGACATACAACACAACTGACTTAAAATTTAAAAATATTTTTTTCAACGGTGTCAGTACAGTTTTAGACTGCAAGTAATTATTACCACTCAAATGCTTAGGTCTCAATTTGTCGTCGTTGTTACTGCTATTAAATCAACTTTGACACGGACCGCGATAAGGACACCAAAACACGATATTCGTATACGAATACTTGTATTTGTAAAGTTAACTGCAGAATAGAACAAATTGAATGTTTTAAAAAAAACGCTTGTTAGTTCGTATGATCTGTTTACGAAATATTTTCAGAACATTTATTTTCTGTTGCAAAACTTATAATTCGAATGAAAATAAATGTTGGGTTTAAAACAAAATGTTAAACGTTGTACTATATTACTGAATAGTTTAATCACATTTGAAAAAAAAAAACAATTAATAAGAACCTTAAAAGCAAGACAAAAAATTACAAAGAATATACGTACTGTTTTCACGTGTTCTGAACAAATGAATGTGTTTTCTACGAAAATGAAATATTAAAGGGAAGAAAACACCACGCACAGTTCCACTAAGTGAATACACATCCATAATAATTAATAATTTAACAATACTTTTTACAGGAGTATCAGTTCCGGAGTTAGTGAAGTGCTATTACCGGTGTATATCGTACATATCATTTCACAAAACAGTATACATGGCTAAAAAAAACTGTACAGAAGCAAGCTTATGTGCTTTTTTTAATTTGCAAAGATATTGAAATAGACATTTAAATTTACTTGAAGATATAATAAAGATACATGTTGAATTTTACCTAATGTTAGACAAGTTTGTTCAGTTGGAAATTTAGATTTAAATCTTACATCATATACAAGATGAAAAAGATTGTCTGCAGATTAACTTGAAATGTATTTAAAAATATATCTATAGAATTACATTAACCTGAATAGTTTCTAGTGAAATCTAACCACGAATTGAAAAAAATAACAAATGCTATTACTTTACTCTAGGACTGGCAAAACCAGAAAATACCGTATATAAAGTTGTGATGTGGCGGTTGATCTCCCTCTTACAATTTTATTTTCAATTTGATATATATAAATATATATTGTAATAATTTTTGTTGGCGGAAAGATTGCATCGAAAATTAAAATTCGCTGACACAGCAATTCATATTAAACCACATACATGTCGTTAATAACATGTCAAGGGATATCCTGATTTAATTTGGGTTTTATGTTGTAAAAAAGATGCATTTTTAACGTTTTATAAGTATACAAGCCAGTAGTTAATAAAATATTTTGAGTTTACTGTCTGAAAACTATTTTCAAATCGGTAATCATCATCTTGTCATGTTTTACTTGTTACTGTGGTACCACGGTCAGCTCTCAGTGTCAATCCTCTGGACTTATGGAACCATTGTTCAGAGGAAAAGAATTATTTAAATTGTTAATAGAATGTCCGGGGAAAATGCATACCACTGCAGATAAACAAACACAAAACGAACAGACGACATTAACTCATGAGCTCATTAGATATCACAATTACAGAGAAAACTTGAGGCCAACCTTGGTAACAAACAGCTATCATCTCGGATATTGGACATGACTATCACTGCCTTTTCATGCCAGCTGCAATAACAAAAGATGAAACGGAAAAACTATCTTTTCCGCTTTAAGGGCCTCGATGTTATCAATTAAGACAAAATTATTTATCATAAAGTTGCCGAATCTAAAATACCTCCTTGCCTCAAAGATCAGTATGCTCCAATCGCCTCTTATACTTATGTTACACCTATTGGGGTCAAACGTTTTTAAAACCACAAATACATGTTCCAGAATATCAATATTGAAAAAAGTCTTAATGACCTACTTGTACTTTTTCAAGCTTGCATGCATATGTAATCCAGCTGGCTACTTTATAACTGGTGACCTTAACTTTGCCAACAACACTTTTTAAGAAAATGTGTAAGTCAATTGGCCAAAATACCGTGATCCTAAATAGATAAACCTTAAAAAAAACACAGCTTTAAAATGCTAATGAATACAGATGATAATACCAGATAAAAGGAAGACGTAGATACTATTACCGAAAGGGGCAAGACTGTAAGGTCGTTGATATAAATCAGAATCGAAAACTTAATGGATATATGAGCACTCGTGCTACATCTATCTAAAACGCTCCATATGTTTGGAAGCACTTATCCGACCTTTATGACAAATATATTGTTGTCCCCGCAGACAAAGCCCATAACTAATCGTATTTGTTTCTTTAAATTACATTATATACCCAGTTTATTTTGATGATAATGGATCTAGACATTTTAAATTCAGTCAAAGGTCTATTTTGTGTTCCTTTTGCAATTTCAAACAAGGATGAAGAAATATTACGATCAAAATTAATCGTAAGTTATACTGAAATGTTCATCACTTACCAGATTTACAATGAAACTACTTACTCAAAGGACGGAATTAATGAGGATTGGACATTTAAATAGTCCAAAGACCTGTTAGAAAACATGCTATCAAACCCCTCTACACGTGCAACAGTATAAAACATTTTTACTACACTTAACACAAGTATTTGTCATTCTAAACTTAAAGATAGATTGAAAGAATTTGTCCAACTTTGTTTCATGAGGAAGAATGGTTAATGCCGATTAAATATCTTGTTTGAGGAAGAACAAATCAAAGTTTGTAAAGAACTTCTCTGATTCTTACAAAACAGCTCTCTGAAACTGAAATCATCAAGATCATCTGATTTTACTATTTATTGACAAAATAGTTGTTACGTTTGGAGGACGTGTTTTTTAACATAAAATAGCATCTTATCAATTGAACTTGAAATAAAGGATATCACTGATTCAGTAACACCCCCTTCATATCGTGATTTACATATAAAAAATTGACGATGAAAGTCAACTGAGAAATTATTTTGCAAACAAGAAATTGACGATGAAGGCCGACTGAGAAATTATTTTGACAACAAAAGAGAAGATTTCAGTTTTCCCGTTTTGAACTTTCCATTTCTGTGTAGCCACATTCAAGCAGCGCCTGCATAATGAGTATGTATCCCCCAGTTGATACGATATTTCGAGGCTTTTTTCCTATCATGATTTCTTTTATAGAGGGTTGCTGCTTTAATTTTCAGTGTAATATGTAATGCTTTTTGAATTTACAATGTCTATGTCGTTTCCATCGTTCCATCGTCAACAGTCTTGTCTTGGAAAACTGCGCTTTAGTTTCATACTTTCTCAGTCGATAAAATTTTTGGGTTAAAAAATGCACATTAACGACGGTTTATGAATTTAATAATGTAAAAGTACTAGTACTTAGTTAAGAGTCATTTACAAACCCGCTATTGCGTGATGCCAAATTAATGAATAAGTTGCATCCGCATATTTTGTCAGGAGTAGCACAACGGGTAGAGCAAGAACAATCCGAACTGCTTACCCTTTCGGAGCATCTTAGTTCATCCCTGGATTTTGATGGGATTCATGTTGCTTAATCTTCAGGTTTTTACTCTTGTTATTTAAAAATTGTTAGGCTTATTGAACTGAGCAGATTTAATCCACACTATATGCTTTGAAAGTATCTTATCCGTGTCTCAATAGTTGCACACGACCTACCAACTTGAGAATAAGTATTATGCATGGTAATTTGAACCTAATAAGAAAACACAGTAGCATCTATCTGTACAGATCAACCTCAGTGTCTAATGACAGTTACCTGTACAGATCAACCTCAGTGTTATAGTGGTATCTATCTGTACAAATCAAGCGCAATGGCCCAGTGGCATTTACCTGTATAGATCAACCTCAGTAGACTTGTGGCATTTACCTGTACATATCAATCTCAGTGGTCTAGTGGCATCTATCTGTGCAGATCAATCTCAGTGGTCTAGTGGCGTCTATCTGTACAGATCAACCTCAGTGTTCTATTTGAGTTTACCTGTACAGATAGAGCTTAGTGGTCTGGTGGCATCTATCTGCAGAATACATGTACGATAAATGTCTGCAAGGTACATGTACTTGTATCAATTAGGTTAGGCTGGAATACACCTTAGAAAATGCCTTCCATCGCAATAAGAACGAAAGTTCGGTAAAAATAAGTTAATCATCCTTCTTTTATGCGATTATAATTTCTGTAGTTCCTTGTTAAGTTTTCGGTAACCATCACCACACATATAGTTCAATATCTCGATATATAGAGTTCATATAATTCGGAAAGTTCAACATCTGGATATATATATATATATATATATGGATCATAATATTTTCCGTCACCATCATAGCATATTCTTCATCAACTTCCGGAAAGTGCACAATTCTTTGTACAAGTGTCGGTCCATTCTATTTGCACAGTTCATATTATTTCTCTAAATTAGTTACACGGTTCATCATCTACTAGTGAATCCGGTCATCAACGTTGTAAGGTTTACAATCTATTCCCATTACGAAGTAGTTGACGTATCTAGATCTGGGTACATTTTTCTCGAGAGACTATTAGCATCGGTCTTTGGTTTAGTTTCATCCTTGATCAATGGCGCAAAGGGAGACATCTCATGGAAGCAGTAGCATCCGTCCCAACCAGCTGAGTTGACACCATTTTGTACCTATCGTCCGTGGCATTTAAACCAGAACTCACACTCCTCTTTTTGGCTAACCAAGATCTATTTCTAATATAATAACAGTACAAAAATATGGCTACTTCAAAGAAGATCGCACCTAAACCCACTGATAAACCTACTCCAATTTGGAAAAACTAAAACGTTTTCAATTTCTTTTCTTTTTTTTTTAATTTGTCAATTAGAGTATCGATAGTTTGTTTAATCGCCTTTAGTTCACTGGGTTATTCAAGCCTAGCAAAATTTAGTAAAACAATTTCTATGTATGAATCAATACGTTCTCTTAAATATCAAATTATCTGGTTAGAACAAAAAAAATGTCCTATACAACTTCTACAATTTTGAAAATCCTACAAAATAAAAACTAGATATGTGTATTTATACAAGACTTAAGATATACAAACATATATATATTTACAATAAGAAAAAATAATTCAAACATTTTATCTAACCCTACACCTACACAATAAATATTAAAATTTTTACTAAAAGTTATGTGTCACTAATTTTCGTTACCCATAGTAGTATGTTTACTTCTTTATTGTTTTTTTTTTACCTAATCTTATTATAACACTATTAATAGACATATCTATTTTCATCAATCTTGGAAAAAAAACTTCAGTTCCAGAGATAAAATATTAACTACATCTTGCGCAATTTGTTCATAACTCTATATTTCAAGAAAGATAAGAAGTTAGCAATATCCTTTAACTCTACGTTCCGCTATATAGATGATGTTCTCTCACTAGATAATACAAAATTTGGTGACTATGTTGAACGAATCTATCCCATCGAACTAGAGATAAAGGATACTACAGATACAGTTAAGTCTGCCTCATATCTTGACTTACATCTAGAAATTGACAATGAGGGTCGGTTGAAAACAAAACTTTACGACAAAAGAGATGATTTCAGCTTCCCAATTGTGAACTTTCCATTTCTATGTAGCAACATTCCAGCAGCGCCTGCATACGGAGTATATATCTCCCAATTGATACGATATTCCCGGGCTTGTGTTTCCTATCATGATTTCCTTGATAGAGGGTTGCTGCTCACAAGGAAGCTATTAAACCAAGAGTTCCAAATGGTGAAGTTGAAATCATCCCTTCGTAAATTTTACGGACGCCATCACGAGTTGGTTGACCGTTATGGAATAACCGTTTCACAGATGATATCGGATATGTTCCTTATGTCGTAACTACAATACCCTTCCCTTTTCACGAATGTAACTTACCGAATTAGACTATTTACCGGATTTGTAATAACATAAGCAACACGACGGGTGCCACATGTGGAGCAGAATCTGCTTACCCTTCCGGAGCACCTGAGATCACCCCCAGTTTTTTGTGGGGTTCGTGTTGCTTAGTTTTTAGTTTTCTATGTTGTGTCATCTGTACTATTATTTGTCTGTTTGTCTTTTTATTTTTGGCCATGGCGTTGTCAGTTTGTTTTCGATCTATGAGTTTGACTGTCCCTCTGGTATCTTTCGTCCCTCTTTCACTATCGGCAACAACGTTTACGGTGAGAAAAAACAATCTTTCCCGTTTATCTTTTAAATCATTTCTATTAATAGTAAATCGTATTTCTCATCAGAAAAAAATATTTCCCCTTAAATCTTTTAAATTATTTCTATCAATGGTATATTGTCTTCCTTATCAAAATATTCCTTTTTTTTATTCGCCTTAAAATTTAAGCAACCTATTTCCTTTCTAGTTATACATT